GTCTTCGTTCTTGGAGCACCGCACGTGCATCAAGTTATCAAGGCGGTCGTCGTTGAGCTTCCACGACATCTTCATGCGTTCCATGCCCTTGGTCAACTTGGACACTTGTTTTTGCCTGCGAGCCATCAATGCGGATGAAGAGTTCAAACAGACACACCTGTACTCTTTGTCATCCAAGAAGGACGGGGTAGATGAACACGTCGGGCCGATGGGGTACTCGTACGCTTGGAGAATCTAATTACGACAAAAATGAAAACGCGACAAGTGGGAAAATGCTGGCTCACGTGAGATGCCAGGCCAAGGGCTTCGTCAGACATCGGGTTCAGACGAAGATACGATCGGATGAGCGCATTTCGCTGACTGATGTCTTCTGGGCGCATGCGAGTTGGGCGGGGCGCTGCCGTTGTCGTCACTTCATCTAGTGATGTTGAACGACGTACCTGCAATTTCTCGACTGAGAGGAGGAGGTGCAGCGACGTCGGGATTGGATGCCAGCGAGAGCAAGTCGGAGTTGAGCGCATCCATGGAAGATGATGCAGCTGCAGACAAGGCATTCTGCATCGTGTTGGCAGTCGACAAAGTTTCTTGCAAGAGTACCATCAAGTCGTCGCGCTTTGAGCTCTTGTGATACGGTCCCGGCATGAACGAGAACTCAAACGCGATGTCCATGACTGATATTGAAATGGACAGCGCCAGCACCACGTTCTGGATTTTGGTCGGCACGACTTCACGAACGTGTTCCAATCCGATGCGAAGGCTGTACCGATCCGATCCATACACTTGACCGGAAGAGGTCTGCATCGTATCAGAATGGCGCATGGGACGCCAGAACAACTCCTTTCTGTCTAAATACAAGTCTCCCAGCGCATGTGTTCCTGAATTTGAATCGATGCACATCTTTAGGGACGATTCACCCGTAGTTGTTGGAAAGTTGAAAGTCACGAGCTTGCCATTCTGCTTGACCTTCAGACCGATATGCCGTCCATGGAAGAGCGCTTCGTTTGTTGAGAACTTCACGTCGTCTTCGACGAGAAAGAAGCTGTTTTCGAGCAAATGCGTCCCGACATCAATTGCTGTGGCGCTGGACACATCGTTGCTGCCAGGAGATATCCTTCCACCTGCTCCAGCCACATCACCTCCATCTAGGCTCTCGTTACTTGTCGTCGTCGAAGATCCAACAGGATGGGAAAAGATCTCGTCGTACGATCCAAACCCGAAGCAGTCTTCTTCCTCCATGCTGCCCTTCAGCTCCAGACTCGACACGGGCGCCAATGCCAAACTTATGATGTCCGGATATTAACGTTTGAACTTCAAATTATCCGGACAAGTAAATCAAATTTGGGCGGCGCGACGCGGCGCGCAGGTGAAGCCCTCTGGGTGACGCGGCGGATATGCCCACCACAGGGCGAACGAGATCCTTCGTCATGGATGACAGTGCGGTACGACAAAGTTATTTGCGCAGCCATGCTGCATCTCGAAATTGCCAACATCGATTCGCTGGATGATGAATGCATGCCGTCGTGAACACAGGTGAGCCCACGTCACGAATGCGAGTGGAGATAAAATACTGAATTGACCTTGCGTACTCTCTATAATCACGTCTATTTCTTTGTGGCAGAGACCTTCTTGGCAGGACTCTTCTTTGTCGGGGGGGTCGCCGTTTTCACTGACTTGACAGCTTCCTTCTTCAAGGGGGCTTCCTTCGTGGGAGCTGCCTCCTTCTTCGCCGGACTAGGCTTCACTGGGGTGGCCTTCTTCGTGCTCGGGCTTGCTTTGACTACTGTTTCCGCCTTCACAGGCTTCGACGCCTTCTTTGCAGGGCTCACCTTAGTCGCTACCGCTTTCACTGGGGTGGAAACCTTCTTCGCAGAGCTAGCCTTGGTCTTCGCCGCTGGTTTCTCAATCACCTTCGTGTCAGCAGTCACGTTTTTGGGAGCAGGGGTGGCCACTGAGACCGCCGGGGTCTCGGCGGTCTTGGCTTCTGAAGCTTTGGCTTTCTTCGAAGGTTGCGCGTCGGAGTCCTCAGCCTTTCGCTTCTTGGACCCAATCGGAAGCTTGGACGAGTTGGGGAGCGCATTGTAGATGGGTAGCGCCACCGAGTCCGACGTCTAGTTCGACCAGATATTCCTCAGCATCATGCAAAGATCAAAACGCTTACCTTGATGTTGATCGACTTGATGTTCTTCCACTTTTTCGGGACATGCTCCAGGATGTTCTTGGTGCCTTGGACGATGTTGGCGACAATGTGATCCGTGTCCATGCCGTCGTGGGCAATCTTGACGTTGAAGCACGGCCCAGGCGACGTGAACATCTCCGTTCCATCGAGAACGCGGCGGATGTGGTCGCTAATGTTCTTCTTCCCAGTCACGTTGACAGTCGTCGGCTGCTTCTTCGCGTCGAAGAACGTTTTGCCCAACAGCGACTTGACGTACGGCAGCACACGGTCGTCGACGAGAAAGACGCCGTACGCGGCCTTTAGTTCGCGCTTGTCTTTAAATTGTGAAAAGTTCTTCTTGAGCTTCTTGAGCGGCATGACTTTCGCCAACCCGGCGACCGGGTCGGCCTTGAGATGTGCCTTGATGCGGTCCTTGTCCGAGTCTTTCACGAACAAGCACGCTTCGCCATCACCACGGATGTTGTGCGGCAATTTGCTACACATGGCAATACGTTAGATGCGAGAAACGTCGTGGCAAATGTTCCTAGTCGCACATGGGAATGGCCTTGAGGGATTCCTTGACAGGCACGGTAACTCGTGTGAAAATGATCTGGATCGTGTTGTTTTCGTCGACGAGGGCCTGCTTGGACGTCTGCGCCTTCTTCTTCTTGAGGAATTGCTTGAGCGCGACCACGGCCTTGGTCACTTGATCCGTGTCGAGCTGCTCCATCTCGTGCGCTGGTTGAAGCTTAAAATGGACCGTGGGGAGATGGATTGAGTGGTTGGTTGCCGGATGGGACAAAATAGCCAATCATAGGCCTGTATTTCAAACTTTCGACGAATCATAGCGCAGGACACCAATGGCTGGGACGATGGGATGTCCAACGTGAGCCGTCGTCGAAAGGATGTCTGCGGACCGCCGCCTACGACCGAGTTGGCCCCCCCGCCCTTCAAGGACACACGAGCCATGGCGGTCATGCTCATAGCCCCGTTGAATACTGCGCTAGGATTCGTATGCGTTGCCTCTCGCCCATTCGAGCATGCATGCTGGGGCCGTTTGCACGATCAGCACTGTGATGGCACGCGAATGTGGAGGCGCTCGTTGATCGGGGAGACGACGGAGCCATGGGTGGGCCATGCGGGTGTTCCGCGCGGTCAGCGTGGTGGTTGCGCGGAACGCAGGCCGCGGTTCAAGCTTCCAAACGGTTCAGAGCGTGAATGGACAGAGACGCCATCCAACGCTGGACATCTACCTGGTGTCGATCCCTTGGCAGATAGACAACGAACGACTTGAAGTGGGTTAACACTTGGATCGATGGCGCGAGAGCGCGCACGCAGCAGCTCACATCCACGCTTGCAACGTCAGCGGACGTCCACGACGGGCGCCGCGTGGAAGGGCTCAATGTTTTGGCTGGGTGAGATGTTCTGTCCTGGTCTGTACGGTCGGCAGGACGATCTTGATTTGTCACGTGCTACTCTTGCGACCCCAAGCGCTGTTGCCCCGGCGGAGGAATAGCAACCAAGAAGTCGCTGCGCCTGGATGGAGCGCACGGGTGAGCTTCGGGCATCGCTTCTCTGGCCTGGATTGCCACAATCGTAGCGCAGGCCTGCCGCATAGGTTGACGTAGAGCCAAAGGGGTTGCCGTACTCAGGTGCGGCATGTAGTGGTCCGTTGGCTAGCCCATGCGGGTGTGGCAGGAACTGGGGAAGAGTCGCAAGTAGTCGCCATTATTCTTGGACCCCACAGAATCCGGGACTACCATGCCTCAACGCGATGTCGTGGGGAGTGAAGCGACTCCCCGCATGAGACTTCTTCAGCGCGAAGGTCCTTTCGTTGCTCAGATTTCGGAAAGGGTGGGCGAGACCGATACAGGGCAAATCGGGAGTCGGGAGCCGAGGGCGAGAGAGGGAGGTGCGAGAGCGCATCCTAACCAACGGAAAAGGCAAGCGGCAAGTACCAGGAACGAGTGAATTGGTGGTAGCCACTTCAGCTGGTCCAACCGAGCATCACGGCATCGTAGCGATGGACCGTGGACGCCCGCTACAGCGAGCGTCCTCTACTCGGAGGGACAGCCGCTACTTCGCATGTAAACCCCCCAACAGAACCTGCATGTCCAGCGTCAAGGTGGCCCACCAATTTACCTGTGTGTTCTGACTTTGGAGTCATGCCAGCCATCATCTTGTCCGACTCGACAAGACGATGCATGGAGTGGATGGGACCATGGACCCCAACCGTTCCCAAACAAAGCATCTGCATCATGCACGACCTTCGGCTTGGAACCTCAAGCAACGAGCGCGCGCACGGCGCAAGTCTCGACTTGGCTGCCAAACAGTGGCGCATGCATGTCCACATGGAAAGGATTCGCCAAGCAGTGGCCCGTGGATGGTCGCCCTGTCGTACGAAGTGCCGCCGATTGTCGACGACATTCCGCGGGTGGGCAGCCTACAACATGGCGGTGCCACTTCCTCGACGCGGCGACGTGCGAAGACAAGGACGGCCGACGTGTCATTGATATGGCTGCAGAAAGTGCATACTCGCTTCCGGGCGTGGGATGAGCTTCTCCAGAGTTACCTACGTTCGCATTACTCGCGGCTGCTGAGCCACCACGTGGAGTGACAACGAAGCGCCCACCACAACATCCGACCCTCGGCTAATGAACTCGATAGTCGAGACAAGTATGGGGACGTGGGTGCCACGTAAGGGTGGACTAAAGTGGTCGGGACCCACGCCAGCCCAGGTCAACACCTGCTCCCATCTGCAACCGAATGGATGGGCTGCGTTGCCGACCCCAAGACGGCTCAAGCCATCGGCGGCAGTGTCCCAACCAGTTGGCCATTCCCTCGTTGGACGGCATGTCTCCTCTCGCACGACGCATGCGGTCGTCGGTCGGCACCACGCACGGCATCCCGTGCCACCGTCGTCGCCCCGTTTATTGTACACTTGGTTTCAGTATACGCGAGCATGGCGGCTGCAACGGGAGAGGAAAATATCTGATCCAACTGTGTGTTGTAAAAAAATATGAGGCGCGGCGATGGCTACTTTTTTCAATCATGCGTTGGGTACGGTCGAACCAGCTTTTGGCAGGGCGACGAATAAAAAACCCGCGCGAGAAAAAAAATATGCGCCTCCCACTCTCGCCGCCCCCTGGAACGGCTGAAATATCTTGGGATTTGTATACAGCCGACCCCACCGTTGGATTCGGTGGAGTGGCATGGTGGCTGAGAATCCTCATTTTGGCTTTTGGACGGCGGGGAGTTGGACGACGTCCCACGGCCCGAACGAGTCCATCTCTTGCTATGACCACAGGTTTGACCCTCCAGCACCTCTACTCGCAGCAGTACACGCAGCCAACGTCGTCGGCGTCGAACCCAGCGCTCTCGTCTATGTCGTCTTCGCACAATTCGGGAAGCGGGCCGAACTCGCATCATGCCGCCGGACCCGTGCACCAACGGCAAACGTCGCCGCACAACAGCAACGTCATGAACAAACCGCAACACGGACAACACATGCCCACGCACCACAACAACCACCACCAACACCACATGCCAAACCCGCCGTCCCAACATCACAGTGGTCACCACGGCGGCGACGACTTTGTCGCGGACCCGCTGCCATTCAATTACGATGTCATGGAAGCTACATTTGACGACCGGTACGGACGAAACAACAACAGTGGCAATGTTCGCTCGCTTGCTCCGCCATCCGTCAACGAGAAACCTCTCCATCACGCGCCCCAACATCCGCAGCAGCAACATCCGATGCGGTATGGCAGTCTGCTCTCTGGCATGCAGCACCAGCACTCGCAACAATACCAGGACTCATACAACGACGCGGCCGCTTCGGTTCCCCACCACCAGTACGATACCCGCCGCGAGCAACACAATCTGCCCATGAATGACCGACCGACGACCAAGGACTCGTATCACTTTATGTCTCAACATGCCTCGCACCCCAACGACCACGACGCTTCCGTGGGGCGCCTCGCTTCAACTTCGCACTACTCAATGCCAGACTTGCATTCCAACATGGGCAATCACGGCAATAGCATGCCCATGTACCATCAGTCGTCCCCTGCGTACTCGACGAGCGGCCCTTCGACCTCGCAGCATTCAACTTACTCGACTTTGATGGAGTCGCATCACTCTGGAAGCAGCGTGTCTTCGATCCTTCCCACGAAGAAGGATATGCCCCCAGTATATCACAACGACTATATGGACACTCGTCCACCCCACCACTCGACCCACGCCCCATTGCCGACGTCTGCGCACATGTCTGCGTCGTTGGCGTCGGCGCAGTCTCCCCAGGAAGCCGTGATCAAGGTGAAAACGTCGTTGAAGAACAAGTACTGGCGCAATGGTCGCCGCAACCTCCAATGCTTCCCGTCATGCAAAGTGTTTGGCGATTACAGCCAAATCAAGATTGAAGACTTGAAACAACATGACTTCATGTGGGGCAAGTGCCGCGGCAGCTTAATTGCCGAAGTCACCCTCAATTCCAACGCGACCTTCGACGACATCCTGCTCTTGGGTCGTGTCCACTCTTTGGAGAACATTCCCGTGCCGTTTGACGAAGCCGTGATCCGCGAATGCATGATCGGTCGCGTTGTCGAGCCCGACGTGATGGACACGATGAAGGAGCAATGGATCCAAGGGGAGCGACTTCCTGACTTTATCAATCCGAACCAGAGCATCACGTGCTACGAGTTCAAGCCCAAGGTGTGGAAATACACGGACGACATGGTCCATGGCAAGTGCAAGCGCCGCAACGTGCGCTACTACGTTCAATTTGAAGCGTTTGTGCCTGTGCTTTCGGGGGACCGTCGGTGCTTTGTCTGCATTGGGTCGGGCATGTCTTCATCGTTTGAAGTCGGATCGTCCCGCGTCCTCGCTCGCCAAAAGCGCAAGGCGAACACTGGCGACGACGACGAAGACGACAAGGACTCGAACGAAAACTTTGACCAGAACGAGTCGGGCAACAGCCGCCGATCCGCCAAGCGAGCCGCCAACCCCTCCAACGGGTACTCCATCTAGCGACCACGCGGGAAATATGAGGAAGCTGTCAGTATGTCGTAATAGTGTTTCTGTTGTTGTCCTCGGGAAGCAGGGTGTTCTCTGATTGGGTAAAATCCATGCCTTTATTTGAAATGGAGCACGCTGATTCGTCCTGATGACATCTAATCTCGCCGCATCTTCTTTGAAGAGTCACATCCCTTTGGCGGTGACGCGACAATCTCGAGCCATGCCCACTCGATGTGGCGATACCGACTCCGCTCACCGCAAGTTCGTCCCTTGCGCTCTCGGAACTGGTATCGATCGGTGATATCGTCGTATAGGACAACCATATCAGTCCAAGCCGCACAAGGTGCATCAGAACGGTTGCTACAATGGGGACAACGTGCACGCCTCAAGCAGGAAAAGGTTGCGCACGAGAAAATCAGCGCATCATATCTTGACCCACGATTCACTCAACGATTGTCGAAAAGACAGATTGCCGCTGCCGCGGAGCGTCTCTCGCGCCAGTGGCACAAAGATGAAATGCACTCGACGCCTACGCATGAAGCTAGTCCAGATGACTTGCGAGAATGCACATTTCGACCTCGACGAGTTGCAAAAATCGAGCCGTGGATCACGTCGAGGTACCAATGCCCTCCAACGACCTCTCAACGGACTTCGCGGTAAGAAGTGGTCCTCGGTGTCCTCTGCATCAACTTGTCCAGGGATCACGCATTCGTGCCTCGTATCAATCCATTTCCCATCCACCACGACGAAAAGGACGTTTACGTACGTTTGCACAACGATTTTACTCGGCAAGAAGACAAGCGCAGGGTACACTTGCTCGTTTCCTGACAAACTAACTCACTCGTATTCGTCTGTTGTGATGGATAGGTCCTCAGCATGGAGCGCAATCGGCAGCGCCGCCCGACAAAAGTCGTCGATCGCGATGACATTCAAGCGTTCTTGAAGCGGCAAGCGCATTACGAAGAGACACGCCAGGTAACCTTGCGCTGCCACCTTTCTACATGATCTCAAGCCTGTCGAAGCACCACCTCGAGGAACCCAGCGTTCCAGACCCTGAATGCAGGTTTACACCACAACTAGACAAGAACTCGAGGCACCTGTGCGCATCTGCCAGGTATTAGATCGAAGGAGCGATCGGAATGCGTGAGTAGTCGCAATGCTTTAGGACATTAGAGGCAAGGCTGCACAGAGCGAAGGAACGGCGCAGCTCAAAGCTTCAGCACGTGCTTGCCGGGGACGCGACCACGGCTGCAAAACCGCCCCGACAAAAGAGTCTTGCAGAGCTTGAGCCACGGTTGGCGACATTGAGTCGCCCGAAGCCGGTCATCGTTGCTGTGCCAAGCGAATTTCAAGTCGAATCCAAACGCCCTTCCGCCGTCGACCTCTATGCTGTTGAAGCATTCTATAACAAACAGCAATCCACCCTCAAGGTACAAGGCTGAACCGCGTCCGGGAGTCAAATCGACCATGCTCTTGTTAGACCAAGAAGGACCGACTGCTACGTCATGAGTTTGCATCGATCTTGGACGAGTATCGTTACATGGCACGTCATGCCATCAACACGTCGTCGCGCCGGCGTCTATCGCCGTCTGGCAAGGCCGCCGCCCCTGCGTAACTCGGTCGAATCGAACCCATTTGTTTCATGGCACGACGGATCGATTCCTTTTCATCGTCATCAAGCTGGGGCAGGACGGTGTCGAGGGTGGTGCACACGAGCTCCGAGCTATGGTGGGTGCGTCAGACGTCGGCAAATTCTGAGCCACCACCTAGTTTTCAACAGGACGTTGGCCTTGGGGTGGGTTATCACGACCTCCAGAACATGCAGCAGTCCATGGAGTGTTCTTTTGCTATTGCTTTTGTCTTGGAGTAGCTGAAGCAATGCCCGCACAAGTCGTGGTCGAAGGAGGCGGGGAAGCGCGGATCGATCGTGCTCCACGAGGCGAACTAAAAGATCGACAGAACAGAACTTGAAGCAAGGCGCCGCCATGGGCAGCATGGACAACAACGTCTCGATGACGCCCATAGCAACCATGGTCTTGCAAGCGTCTTGGCAATAGCTCCAGTGAAGCATACTCTGGATGGCCACAAATGACACCATGTCCCCCTACTTGTCCCCCCCTCACGATCCGATATCATCCATGCAACAACGCACCTCCACCACGATTCGGAGCATCACATTCAACGCTGTGGGGTGAGCAGCATGCAATCGGCGCGCCAGGGCTTGCGAATCTCTACGCATCCATCATGAGATGAGTGGGGCATCCGGTGAGCCTACTCCATGCATGGCGAGACCAAGAACTGTCGGTTTACGCGCTGCAGGTGAACCAGCGCGAGTGGGGTTGAGCACGACGCATCATTCAATTTGGCAAGAATCTTCGACGACTTAGTTACGACCTGCACATCATTGAGTGGTGAAAGCAGTGGCGGGGGGCCACGACCTGCATCAACTGCACAGTCGACCAACAGGTTTTCCGCGCGGCCCACATGTCCCGTGAGTCATGAAAGTGGAGTGCTGTCAGGCGGCGGTCGCACCAGCGGAGACCCATGCCTTCGCGTCAAGACGTTTCACGTGAAACGTGCAATGAAACCGACCATGTATATCGGTGCTGCCTGGCCATCACGTCCGTCGAAATCGACAAAGGATGGCAAGGGAATCCTCGATGGAGTCGAACGCTCGTCAGGAGCCATCGGATGCGGTCGACTTGCGGAGCAACAGCGGGCCGATGGATGGCCCCGGAACTTTTGCCAGTGACCGTTGAAGTGACATCGTGGTAAAATGCATTCATTCAATCTTGTACCTCGAACCCTCTGGCCGTTCACTGGCAAATGTTCGCACAAATCATTGTTGAGATGGGATCCCTGCTCGAACCCCAGTACCAACTGCCCAACCTACTGCGCGCTTAGCCTTCACGCCAGGAGATGTCCATGCAACAGAGATCGCGTGATGCGAGGCTGTCGTCGGAGTGCCCGGACGAACCTTTCCGCATCACGAGAGTCTTGTTCGCATCGTACGCCCAGCCCATTAGGCAAAGTCTCCAAGCCAAGTATGGCATCGCGCACACATCCTCTTCCCAATCCAAGGCTTGAACAACAACGCGATCCCTTCGTCGGATTCGCTCGTGATTCACGGCCGTACCATGTGTGACGCTTAGCATCCATGTAGCACGTTTGGCTCACCAACAACAGGTGCCAAAACGTTTGTCGTCGTGATGGAGTGCACCAAGCAGGTGCCGAACGCCGCTGCTGCCAGGGTCTCCGAGAAGAGCTACTACGTTGGCGGCTACGAGATAGAGTGTATGCGGCATCAAGACTGCTAGCTACGGTGTTCAAAGGCCGTCAGTAGTGCTTGGGCCCCCACTTGCACATAGTCGAAATGCATCGGAGACACTCCCATGCGGTTGCATTCGATCACGGGCGATGTTCATCCCACAAAATTTCGCGAGCTTCGGAAGTGTCGCATCGTTCCATCGCCGTCTCGCCGGTCCCCTGCCGTCTGTCCGGATAGACAAATTTTATCCAGACACGTCACTGGAATTGCAGTGGCGGCGAAAATGCACCGATTCAATCGCGGCGCAGACTTTGAGATGGTCGCGTTCATTCATGGAATCGCCGGCCAGTCTCAACTCTCCAAGGTAATGTGGGAGCTCATCTGTCTTCCTGGAGACGGCATCCTGTACGTTCGACCGCCCAAGGTTTCTCGAACCCATTTGATGTTGCAGATATTTTCCCATTTTGCTGCCGATTGGGGCCGCGGCATGGTACCTGGAGTACTTCCCTCGCCTCAACCGCGAGCAATCTTACCTCCTCACGTACTTATACGTCGTCCTACTTGTGAGTGTCCCATCTCGCTCGCGTGTAGAGCTACAGGTCTGTCCGTGTAGGTCGACTTGCTCTTGAATTTTGCCATGAAAGGCATGGTCAAGCGGAAACGCCCTCACTTCCACAATGATGACATGCGCTTTCCCGGCCCGGACAAGTATTCATTTCCTTCTGGCCACGCTACCCGCGCTGGTGCCTTGGTTGCGCTCTTCTCTACCCTCCTGCAGTGTACTCACCCATTGACGAGGGACGCGTCCTCAAACTGACAACGAGTCATAGATGAACCTGACCTGCTGTCCCTCGCGACGGCTGGACTCACTTCCAGGACGTCCACATCCATGTGCCTCACAGTCGCGTGGACGTGGGCCGCGATCAATTCGTTCGGTCGCCTCGCGCTCGGGCGGCACTTCGTCTCCGACGTCGTGGTCGGCACTTTCATCGGATACAGCTTGTTTTTCCCAGTGGCGCGTGGTGTCATGTTCTGGGTATACCCGCCACACGTTCTTGCCGATTAATGCAGTCGAATCTTTGCAGCGTTTACGTTATAACTTTACATTGCAAGGAAGCGAATGACGCTCGAGAATGTCTACCCATACCGAGGAATCGGGGCCGTGGAAACTATGCCGATCGGATGCGGCGCGCGGTGGAAGCTCGCGCGCCCACTCGAGTGGAATGAGCGCGTGTTGCCGCGTGGACATCTTCACGTCGATCAGTTCGCCATCGTGAAAATGGAATGCTTTGCCCCACCGATCACTCTTTCCGTCCCGCTTGGACGGTTGAATGTCGGCCGCGTCCACTGGTATGGGGGCTGCTTGCCTGTCGACTGCTCGTTGCTCGCTCAACGAATGACGATGGCGCATACACGGTGCTGACTTGCGTCGAACGAGCTCCTTTGCCATCCATTGTTTTTCCACCTCACGGTCGAAGACAAGTTGTCGGCGTTCCTCCGACGTCCGCCTTGTGGTCGGTGGTGCTGGCTCCTCGGTCGATGGAAAGAGGTGTTGAATGTCTTGCTTCGTCAGACTCTTGGACGGTTGATAGGACGACTTTGTTCGTCGCAGGCCATGCATGGACTGGCGCTCCGCTCCGGCCGTCTCGGCGGGCGGCATGTTCAAATATGGGGCCGAACGAAGGCGAAGTGTCCGGCCAGCACGCGCCGTTTCAGTGGCAGGAGGGATGACAGGACGGTTGACCTTGTCTTATTTTATACAAATAAATTGTTGCAAAGCTGACGCAGTGCTGGACAATGCGTCTTAAACCATTTTAAATAAATACATGCAAAATACCTGCAGATTGCAAGGAATTGTATTAAAAAGTGTGCTGTGGTAATGAAATATGTGGTCGTACGACGACGAGCCAGTCGCACGGGAGCAAATCTTGTGATGGCATTTTCGGTTACCAAGAATGGGCGCGATCGCATCGGCCGGGAAGCGGAGGGTGGTGGAACGGGTGCACGTTGTTGCTGGCTCGGAAGAGAGCGAGTTCGATCTGGACGAAGAAGAGCGACGGTACGACGTCCTTGTCGTCCATGGTGGAATGACCTGCGCATGTAGCGTCAAAGAGCTTCAGGAACAGAACAAGCAGGTTGTGGTACGACAATCGGATTGTCCCCATCCTCCAAACGGACCTGTTTAGTTCACAGACGATGCGTCGCGTAGACGTATGTGGTCGAGAACCTCTTCCCATACGCCCCCGTCAGCATCAAGATCCAGCGATTGGACTCGGTCGCGATGGCGGACGCCCCACCCGCGAAAGAGAAGCGAAAAATGCACACGTATTTATGGATCACGCTGGACGAGCTTGTGCTCAAGCAGCAAAACGTGCCCCTCGACACGACCGTGAGCTACCCCCTCGTCGTTGCCGTCGACAGCACGGGGTTGACCGCACTCATCTGAGGTTGCACCCTTACTATCCCCGTGTCCCATAGAAACGCCCATGTGACAGACCGCAACGGCGGACAGCGGAGGCTCAAGTCGTCGGACCTCGTCGCGCTCGCCACAGCAAAAGTACCGCCACAGCCTCCAGATCCCGTGTCTTTTCTCGCGGCCACCGGTTGCAGCCTCAAGGTTCAATGCGGCTTTCCATGCCATATTGATATTGCATGGCTCGCAGGTCCAATGGAAGGAATCGCCAGGATCTATCGTTGACCGGTTTGAAGTGCAGTATAAGCACTGGAAAGACCTGACATCCCACAAACCATGGCTCGTTCTCGTCAACTCGCTCATGCCGTCCAACACGACGCTGGACAACTTAGATTGCCACACGGCCTTTGTGTTTCGCGCCAAGTGCCACAACCCGGCGGTACTGCGACGTTCGTTCTCATGGTCGTATCACGTTAGTTGAAGGGATGGAGCGACTTTAGTGCAGTAAGCGGTCCATTCACAACACTGGCCGGCGCCCCAGACAAACCGACACCGCCATTCGCCGCCATCATCTCCAACACGTTCATCCACGTCGGGTGGTCAGCTGCCCCAGACAATGGGGCGCCGATCATGTCGTATCATCTTGAGATGAAAGCTGTCGTGGACGAGAACGCCACGTTTGTGCAGGTGTACGCTGGTCGCGACTGCGGTAGGTTTGGCGAGTGCTTCCATCGTGATTTTGACGGGTCGTCTGCAGGATATGTGGTCCCCGGCCTTGCACCAAAATTCGTATACATATTTCGACTAAAGGCCGTGAATGCGGTGGGCGACACCGTCTGGGTCGAGTCCAAGCCAGTGCGCACGAAGGAGTTTGCCCGGCCAGAAGTCCAGGAGCTGCCTTCGGATGGATCCACCGACAGGTACGAGAAGCAGGGTACGCCAGCCACGTCTCGAATGACATGACGACCAGGTGGGTTGAGTGCTGGGACGGCAAGCAAGAGAAAGTGTTTTTCTTCAACAAGGTAGCGATCTCCCTTATATTCGCAGTCATTGAGTGAGCTCGATCATGTCGCGGTTTGCGCAGTTTACATGCCAACGAACCTACGACATCCCACCAGAGGTGCTAGCATTGCGCCAAAAGGGTGGCGCCGACGCGGCCGACGAGTCGCCCGAGATGATCTTTCGGAAGAAACGATTCCATTTTCACCGCGAGTTGCGAGCATCCGTGCCGTCGTCGACCGTGCCTTTTGAAGTTTCCCTTGCCCGATCCACTATGTTCATGGACACTGTCGCGAGGTTTCATCGAGCATCAAAGAAGGAGCTTCAGCTAAAACCCCGCGTGACGTTTGAAGGCGAAGGCGGCATTGATTCGGGCGGTCTCACCAAGGCAGGCTCAACTTCGCCACATCAACGTGAATCACGCACCTCACGCGAACCGATATGGTAGGATTGGTACCTCCAAGTGTCCCAGCAGGCTGCCCATCCTTCCCGCGGGCTCTTTCGACCACTTGGTATATTTCGCATGAGAGTCCTCTGTCGGGGAACTCACGATGGGTAGACAAGGGTCTGCTCGAAATCCACCCAGATGCTGACTCGGCCGACCACTTGAAGCTGTTTCGCTTCCTCGGTACGCGATTCCTCTTCGCGCGGTCGGTCTGAAGCACCGTATTAAAAGGCAAATTTTTGGGCAAAGCAATCTTCGACCGCCAAGTGGTGCAACTGCCCCTGGCGCCTGTGCTGTACAAGCATTTGGTGGGTCTTTCGATCACGACGGAAGACTTGGTCGCGATGGACCCTCAGTTTTACAAGTCGCTCAAGTGGATCGAAGACAATGACGTGACGGATGTGCTCTACGAGACGTTTTCAGTCACTCGTGCCAACAACGTCATTGGTATGCAGCTTCAACTGGACGTCGCACAGCGGTGAAAATCGTGTAGTTGACTTAAAGGAGAACGGGCGGAACGTCGAAGTGACCGAGGCCAACAAGAAGGAGTATGTGGCGCTCATGATGCAGTGGCGGACCGAGTTCGCCGTGCGACCACAGCTGGATGCACTACTCAATGGCCTCCACATGCTCTTGCCGGCGTCGTTGCTCCATGCGTTTGAATGGCGTGCGTTCTCCTCCCGGGCAGACTCTCGGAGGATGCTTTATAACAGTGTTTGACAGGGGAACTGGACCTTCTCCTGAACGGCAACCCCTTGATTGACGTCGACATGATGCGGTCGAACGTGCAGTTTCAAGGCGGCTACGACGCCAATGCCCAAGTGATTCTGTGGCTATGGCAGGCCCTGCGCACATGGGACAACCCAAAGCGCCAGCAGTTTCTCAAATTTGCCACAGGCAGCCCATCGATTCCCCTGGACGGGTTCGATCCGCCGCTGACGATCACCAAATCGGACCTCGAACCGACAGCCCTCCCCAGATCCCACACGTGCTTCAACCAACTCGTGCTACCGGAGTACGAGTCGCTCGGTATCCTCGCCGACAAAATAACGTTTGCGATGCAAAACACAGAAAGCTTTGAGCTGAGCTAGACAGACCCACCGAGTTGATCGATAGCAAGTTGTGCCGAGTTGTTTGGTGTCGAGTTGTTTGGAGTGAAACACCGTGTGGACCGATGTCCGTGCCCACGTTAAATGATCTTGTTGGCCTTGCCACACGCAATGAAAGCTTCGACGCACTTGTCGACATCTTCAAGGGAATGCGCAGCCGACATTTGGACGCGGATGCGGGCCTTGCCTTGGGGCACCACCTGCTCCACCCCCCCATCAGATGAATCCAGATCATAGCGAGGTAAACGACGTACGGGGTAGCTAAACCCAATGACGTAAATTCCCTTTTGGAGCATGTCGTCAGCCAACTTGGACGCCAACCGCGCGTCACCGATCATGACAGCGATGATGGCATGGTCGCTAGCAAATGTAATGATGCTCGAGACAGCGTCAAACGGAGCATATTACCGGGCCCCCGTGAGCGTGAATCCAGCTTCGGCCATGCGGTCGCGGAAGCGATGCGTGTTGGCCAAGATCTTGTCGACGTATTCCGAGCTCGAGTTGAGCAGTTCAAACACCTTGAGCGACGCGCCGACGACGACGGGCGACACCGAGTTGGAAAACAGATACGGGCGCGCCTTCTGACGCAGCATGTCGACCACTTCTTGGCGCCCCGTCGTGTACCCACCTGGCCCAATCATCAGCCCACAACGATTACATGAGCACGTACCAGTGCCACCGCCCAACGCCTTGCCCAGCGTTGAGTTGATTATCTACACCAAACAAGCTCGGCATAAATTGCATGCTGCCCCAGCGCACGACCGAACGTACGTCAATGCGACCTTGCACGCCAAAGTACTCGTCCGTGCCGCGGCCCGTCTTGCCAAAGAAGCCGGTCGTGTGGCATTCGTCGATAAACACTTGGGCGTCGTACTTGTCGGCCAAGTCACAGATCACATCCAGAGGTGCAATGTCCCCGTCCATGCTGAACGCACCATCGGTCGCGATGAGGCGGGTGCGGCAGTGCTGCGTCGCCTTCAGCTTGTCTTCAAGATCGGCAATGTCCATATGCTTGAAGCGGTGGCGCTCGGCCTTGCACAACCGAATGCCGTCGATGATGGATGCGTGGTTGAGTTCGTCCGTAATGATTGCGTCTTCGTTGTTCAAAATAGCTTCAAACAGACCTGCGTTCGCGTCAAAGCACGACGGGTACAGGATCGCGTCGTCCGTGCCGTGGAAATCGGCGATGGCGCGCTCGAGCTTCTTGTGGATGTCTTGGGTACCACAAATGAAGCGCACGGAGCTCAGACCAAACCCGTGCGTGTCCAGGGCCTTCTTTGCCGCCGCCACAACTTCGGGGTGGTTGGAAAGACCGAGGTAGTTGTTGGCGCAAAAGTTGAGCACCCCGTTGTTCGCGACCTTGATCAGCGCGCCTTGGGGCGACGTAATCACTCGCTCGTTCTTGTACGTGCCAGCAGCTTTGATGTCGCTGATCTCGTTCGCGAGGCGGCGCGTCAGTGTGTTGGCCTTGCTACTGAATCGGCGGAACTGCGCCATGAACTTGACTTTTTCAAATGTGTATGTGTGGTGGGACGTGTATCGTACGTACTTGGTTGTACGGCAGGTACATTGAGTACATTCGAGAGCTTTCATACACGCCCACTCGTAATGTGCGAGACGGCGTACATTCGTTGTGAGTGCACTTTTGAAGCACCCCCTCAGGATACTCCAACTTTATCCGGATGACTCGTCGCATAACGTCGCATAGCAGGTGCGACACACGGCGGCGCCAGCGCGGCTTGCCATTGTGTTCCACTTCCGTGTCTGTCTAGATAGATCGATGCAAGGCGAGCTTGGAGATTTGGTTGAGATGATGGTCTACGTTACGGTGCATTAACCGAAGTTGATACCTTGAGCGAGCGGCAAGTTCTTGCTGTGGTTGATCGTGCACGTCGATCGGCGCATGTACTGCTTCCACGCGTCGCTGCCAGATTCACGCCCACCACCCGTTTCCTTTTCGCCACCAAACGCTCCACCGATTTCGGCGCCGCTCGGTCCGATGTTGACGTTCACAATACCGCAGTCCGACCCAGCCGGGCCGGTCCACTTGAAGATCGCGGCCTGGTTCTGCGTGAACAAGGACGAGCTCAAGCCTTGGGGCACGTCGTTGTTCTTTTCAATTGCTTCGTCCAAGTTGGAAAACTTCATCACATACGTGATCGGGGCAAAGATTTCCGTCTGCATAAAGCACCATAAGTCTCACGCTTCTACGGCATACCTCAAAGCGACGTACTTGGACGATTGGGGCGTCATGGTCGATGGCCACCAACGTAGGCTCCACAAAGTTGCCCGGGCCAGGGAGGACTTTCCCACCGCGCAACACCTACACGCAGCCTCTTCATGCGCCGTCCGGCGTATTGTGGCTGCCGTACCTTGCCGTTTTGCTCGAGGATGGTTTTGATGCCGTTCGCGTAGTTGTCGACAGCCGCCTGGTTGTGCAAAGGCCCGCAGAGGGTCATGGGATCCAACGGGTCGCCAATCTTGATCTGATCGTACGCCGTCATTAACTTGGCCAAGAACGACTCGTAAATGTCTTCGTGCAAGTAGAGACGGCGAAGCGTCGTGCAGCGCTGACCGGCCGTACCAACGGCGGAAAACAGCGTCGCGCGCAACGCCATGTCCAAGTCCGCATCGGCGTCGATGATCATCGCGTTGTTCCCGCCGAGTTCGAGAATCGTCTTGCCAAAGCGGTTCGCAACCACCTGGTTCACATGACGACCTAGCATCAACACAAGGAAGGAGTCCATAAGCAACCAGACAACGACCCTTCACGCAAGCTCGGCCAAACATGCTGATGCGGAAGGAAGGAACGGGTCGTACCGACATGAGTCGACCCAGTGAACGAAATGAGTTCCATGCGCTTGTCCTGGATCATGGGCTCACCGACTTCCGCGCCACTGATAAACTTGTTAGCAATTTGGGCCATGACGACGAGGGACAAGTTACCTGCCGCAAATGACGGACGCAATGGCAGGGTTGTACCCATTGGCAGAGAGCACGTCCGAGATAACTTTGTTGCATGCAATCGCCGTCAAGCAAAGCGAGTCGGACGGTTTCCAAAGCTGGGTGTTGCCGGCGACCATGCTCAACGCGCCGTTCCAGAACATGACGGCGCAGGGAAAGTTAAAGGCCGTGATAATGCCAACGTGACCCTTGAGGGGGTTGTAGCGCTCCATCATGAAGTGTCCAGGGCGTTCAGAAGGGATGATCGTGCCTGGACGACAGCAACATGACAATTCGGTCGACGGATGGAGAGCGTACCGTTCAAGCAGCGCGACAGACCCACGGCGAAATCGCAAATGTCCACGGCTTCTTGCACTTCACCGACACCTTCGACGGCGATCTTGCCCATTTCCAACGCAATGAGATGGCCGAGGGCCTTTTGCTTGACACGGAGGGCGTCACCAATTCGACGAACCACTTCACCACGAATAGGCGCAGGGACTTCAGCCCACTCCTTCTTCGCAGCGTCCATGCTCTTCACAACACGCTCATAGTCGTCCTTGGTCCCCGTTCGAATCTTCGCGATGGGTTCATTCGTCGCAGGATTGACGGACGTGAACACAGGGCCGTTTCCAAACCACTTGCCATCAAACACACCATCGTTGGTTTCGCTCAACCCAAGTTCCTTAAGAAAGGGGTACTTGGAAAACGTCAATGCGCTCTGGTGGCGGATCCCGCCGAGGCGGAGGTGCTGCGTCGAGCGGCGTGCAAACATGTTCGTCGCTTGGAATCTGACAAACTGAAGGGCAAAGGGCGTTTCCATCGGCAGATCCGAATGCGATCCGGATATCCTGGCCCCACGAAAGTACATTGAAATATCGGGTAAATTCACAAAAACCCGATATGCATTCTCTTGAGTATAATTTGAAGTATGTACACTCCATCGTGTCGGGTATTAAACGCCAATCCGTCCGGTGTAGTAAGTTGATGGCACCCACAGGCACCCTCAACTTCAAGGTGATGGGCTGGCCATAGGTGCATCCGTGGATGGTGGAGGTCTTGCGACTGGCTTGGCAGCCCCGGACATGGCCCGAGATGCCGAGATGCGCGCCAGATCGTTCGCTGACATGAGGTCCATCCTGGTGTCTATTAAGGCGCGAGAGACCTGAAGATTTGGTAAAAGTTTTGGTGCGACGGTTCGATCCCTGGGTCGAAAAATAGAGCCATCGCATACTGACGCTGCGTCAGTCGTATCTTCCAGCTAAAGGTTACGCTGAGCATTGGTTGAGCCACACAAAGTTCATAGTTGGAGCTTCCTCGAAAGGTTGCGACCGTTTCAGCGTAGCGAAACCAAATACAACGTATCCTGCAAGGATGCCCCCTACTCGGCCATTCTGCATTTTGCGGTTCATCCTCTACATCCTCCAGTAGCACCGCCAAACAAAACAATGGGATCTCCTCCGTCGCCCCCTGCCCCCACCGCCCCCCCCACACCTGCGCTCTACCTCTCCCCTGGCGCCACCCTCATCACGACGAGCGTCGGCGAAAACGGGTGGGCCAACCTCGGCTGCCAAAACGCCCAGTGGGAAATCTCCCGCGTCATCTTTGCCTCCTACGGGTTGCCCGACAACACGGGCCTCAGTGCTCGCTACGGGTGGTGCTACGCTGGAGGCTCGCAAGGCGTCGTCGAACGCACGTGCTTGGGCAAGGACACGTGCAGCGTCGCCGCCTCCAACGGGTACAGTCGACCCGGCTCCACGAGATGAATGACATGGCTCTTGCTCCTTTGTAGCTGGTTCGGTGACCCGTGCGTTGGCACCTACAAACGCTTGACGATCACTGCCGAGTGCACCCAGAAGGCGAAGTACCCCACGTGGTCTTCGGCCGGCGACACCGGAACCGCCACCGTCTCGTGCGCCGACGGCTACATTATCGACACCGACAACGGGTCGACGTACGGCAGCGGCACGTGCGCCTTCAAGGGTGTGCCTGACGCCATCAACGCGTTGTGCCAAGGATCGCAGAAGTGCAGCGTCCCCGCTCGCCCGACGTACGTGTCTAGGCGACTGAGCGCAATCGTTGGCCGTTCTTTCTGACGAGAGTGGCTGGATAGGATCTTCGGGGAAGACCCGTGCCCTGGTACTGCTCGCACGCTGAACGTCCAGGTGACGTGCAAGCTCGGCACGCAAAAGGCTGACCTCAC